TATATATATATATATATATGTATGTATATCGCCTTTTCCGTTCAATTTTGGCGCAAAAGAAATATTAGAGAACGCACTTAGTGGTCTCCCAGATGTTGGTATTGAATAGGCAGCTGGAGAAAAACTGTGCGATTTAGAGTACACTGACGATATCGTTTGTCTGTTCGAATGTATAGAGGACGCGCAAAGTGTTCCTAACAGACTTTAACTCAATTTGGTATGCGCTTTGCATCTTCAAAGTGCAAAGTGATGCTACAAGATTGTGTGTCGTCTACCCCGGCGCTGATGCTTGATTGTCAAGAATTAGCTATAGCGGAATATTTTTCCCACTTAGGCAGTTGCGTGACAAACGACGATAGCATAGTCAAGGAAGTAACCGCCCGCATTTCCAAGACTGGAGCAGCTTACGCAGGACTGAAACATCTTTGGCACCGACTTGATGTTTCTTTGAAACTGAAAGGTCGCGTATACTGGGTCAGTGTGTGATTAGTTCTGCTTTATGGTTGCAAGATCCTAAATTTACGCGTGGAAGGTGTATATTATCTAGAAATCTTCGACTGCCGACGTTTACGTAGTTAGGAGCGGGTTGGATGGTTTAAGCGTGTGAGCAACTCTGAAGTCGTCGCGTACTTGGTAATAATTCGGTGGAGAATTCGTTATCCCATCGATTTCACATAAGTTTCACTGGTTAAGTCACGCATTGCGCATGCCCAGCCATCGTCTACCTCACGGCGCTCTATTCGTAGTTGCGGTTCCAGGTTGGAGAAGAACACGTGGTGGTCAACAGATGAAGTAGAAACGAGGCATGCAGAAATGCACATTGCGATTAGGTAGAGTAGGTATCTCTCGTCTTCATGTTTGGAGTACGAAAGACCCGATAACTGGTTAGTTGGAGACACTGAAGTATATGGCGGTTAACCGTCAGTAGTGGCGTTCTGATTGTCATATTTTATCAGGGTAGAATTTGGAAAAGGTATCTATGCAGAGTTAGGTTTTGCACTCTGTGCGTTGACCATCGAGGTTTACTTTCTTTGCCTCCCTCCAATTAGACCCAACCCCTCCACATCTTGTACTTTATCACTTGATTTGTATACACTATGAGCTTGGCAGCGATCAACAAATTTCGCTTCACTGAGTCTTACTGTACGACGATGACGATGGTGTTTATGCGGTATGGTGGACGCAAAAATCGAGGCTCAAATAGCTTGACTTCGCCAAGCTTTTTGACCTGGCCCTGCTGGCTGACAACCAAAACGTGTTGGCCACAAAGCTAACTATTACCCCACCAAGAAGCGCAGATCAACAATGGCCAACTATTCTAAAAGTAATGCACTCATCTAGTTTACACATTTGTGGCCTAAACCCTCGAGTTGTAAAACAGTGGGTCTCCTTCAACTCTATCCGACTTTTGATGCGCGTTGGGCTATCTTCGCAGACTGATTATAATGAACAGCAGCTGTTCCTGAAGCTTGAAGTCACAAAGGCCTGACCGAGAAGCCTACTATCTACTGACCAATTATAGCACATTATATAACTCAGGGAAATAACACGGGGAGACAGTCAAATCAGGATTTTAGTGTGTGCAAAACGGGGGTTAGGAGGTTAGGAGGGAGATGTTTCAACATTGATCGCATATTTGGTCCTGGTCCCTTAATGTGTGAACATTCAGCTGAAGTTTTCGGTGGAGGCACTTCAGATATATGGGAGGGAAAAGGATTTAAAGAACTGTTTGCGTGCACATAATGGAGGTTTGTTTATTCTAATTGCTATCGTCTCTGCTGTAGATAACAATCGGGCTTTCACATCCTTATAC